CACCTCCTCCACCACCACCTCATCCACCACCACCTCATCCACCACCACCTCTACCACCTCCACCACCACCACCTCCTCTACCTATACCATCACCTCCTCCACCACCACCTCCTCCACCTCCTCCACCACCTCTACCTCCTACTCCTCCTCCTCCACCACCTCCTCCTCCACCTCCTCCACCACCGCTACCACCTACTCCTCCTCCTCCACCACCTCCTCCTCCTCCTCCACCTCCTCCTCCACCTCCTCCACCACCTCTTCCACCACCACCTCCCCTCCTCCACCTACTCCACCTCCTCCACCTGGCTGTCCCCTCCATCGTGGGCCGTCATCAGCAGCACGTTTTGCGTTTCCTGGTGCCCTTGGCGGGGCGACCCAGCCGCACGACGTCACCCTGCAGCTGCTGCTGCTGCTGCCTCGCCAGAGACTCCTTCTTAGCCCGCAGCACGGCATGGGTCACGTTGCTGAACATCTACACACGGTGGGCGGGCAAGGGTGGGTGGGTGGGTGAGTGGGTGGGTGAGTGGGTGGGTGAGTGAGTGAGTGGGTGGGTGAGTGGGTGGGTGGGTGGGTGAGTGAGTGAGTGGGTGGGTGGGTCACGCTGCTGAACATCTACACACGGTGGGCGGGCGGGCAAGGGTGGGTGAGTGGGTGGGTGGGTGTGTGGGTGAGTGAGTGAGTGGGTGGGTGAGTGAGTGAGTGAGTGGGTGGGTGAGTGGGTGGGTGGGAGGGTGGGTGAGTGGGTGGGTGAGTGGGTGGGTGAGTGAGTGGGTGGGTGGGTGGGTGAGTGGGTGGGTGGGTGGGTGAGTGGGTGGGTGAGTGGGTGGGTGGGTGAGTGGGTGAGTGGGTGAGTGAGTGGGTGGGTGGGTGGGTCACACTGCTGAACATCTACACATGGTGGGCGGGCAAGGGTGGGTGAGTGGGTGGGTGAGTGGGTGGGTGGGTGGGTGAGTGGGTGAGTGAGTGAGTGGGTGGGTGAGTGAGTGGGTGAGTGAGTGAGTGGGTGAGTGAGTGGGTGAGTGGGTGAGTGAGTGAGTGGGTGAGTGAGTGGGTGAGTGAGTGTGTGGGTGAGTGGGTGAGTGAGTGGGTGAGTGAGTGGGTGAGTGGGTGAGTGAGTGGGTGAGTGAGTGGGTGAGTGGGAGGGTGGGTGAGTGGGTGGGTGAGTGAGTGGGTGGGTGGGTGAGTGGGAGGGTGGGTGAGTGAGTGGGTGGGTGGGTGAGTGGGTGGGTGAGTGAGTGGGTGAGTGGGTAGGTGGGTGAGTGGGTAGGTGGGTGGGTGAGTGGGTGGGTGAGTGAGTGGGTGGGTGGGTGGGTGAGTGAGTGGGTGAGTGAGTGGATGAGTGGGTGAGTGGGTGAGTGAGTGTGTGGGTGGGTGGGTGGGTGAGTGAGTGAGTGGGTGAGTGGGTGGGTGAGTGAGTGGGTGGGTGGGTGAGTGGGAGGGTGGGTGAGTGGGTGGGTGAGTGAGTGGGTGAGTGGGTGAGTGAGTGGGTGAGTGGGTGAGTGAGTGGGTGAGTGAGTGAGTGTGTGAGTGTGAGGGTGAGTGTGAGGGTGAGTGTGTGGGTGAGTGGGTGAGTGAGTGGGTGAGTGGGTGAGTGGGTGAGTGAGTGGGTGAGTGAGTGGGTGGGTGAGTGAGTGAGTGGGAGGGTGAGTGGGTGGGTGGGTGAGTGAGTGGGTGGGTGAGTGAGTGAGTGGGTGGGTGAGTGAATGAGTGAGTGGGTGGTGAGTGAATGAGTGGGTGGGTGGTGAGTGGGTGGGTGAGTGGGTGAGTGAATAAGTGGGTGGGTGGATGAGTGAATGAATGGGTGGGTGAGTGAGTGAGTGAATGAGTGGGTGGGTGAGTGAGCGAGTGTGTGGGTGAGTGGGTGTGACGTCACCACGGCGCCTGTGCCAGGCTAGGTGCACCACTTTGAGGCCATCAAGTGAAGAGTCGGAGAGGCTTTCCCTGCTGACGGGAGGTCTCAGGACAGACCCAGCAGGTGCCATGGGTTGGCTGACTGAGATGAGCGGTGGATGCACCACACACGCTCACCCCCTCTGACTCACCCACCCACACGCTCACCCCCTCTGACTCACTCACCCACACGCTCACCCACTCTGACTCACTCACCCACACGCTCACCCCCTCTGACTCACTCACCCACACGCTCACCCTCTGACTCACTCACCCACACGCTCACCCTCTGACTCACTCACCCACACGCTCACCCTCTGACTCACTCACCCACACGCTCACCCCCCTGACTCACTCACCCACACGCTCACCCACTCTGACTCACTCACCCACACGCTCACCCCTCTGACTCACTCACCCACACGCTCACCCCTCTGACTCACTCACCCACACGCTCACCCCTCTGACTCACCCACCCACACGCTCACCCCCTCTGACTCACCCACCCACACACTCACCCCTCTGACTCACCCACCCACACGCTCACCCCTCTGACTCACTCACCCACACGCTCACCCCTCTGACTCACTCACCCACACGCTCACCCCCCTGACTCACCCACCCACACGCTCACCCCCTCTGACTCACCCACCCACACGCTCACCCCCTCTGACTCACTCACCCACACGCTCACCCCTCTGACTCACCCACCCACACGCTCACCCCTCTGACTCACTCACCCACACGCTCACCCCCCTGACTCACCCACCCACACGCTCACCCCCTCTGACTCACCCACCCACACGCTCACCCCCTCTGACTCACTCACCCACACGCTCACCCCCCTGACTCACCCACCCACACGCTCACCCCCTCTGACTCACCCACCCACACGCTCACCCCCTCTGACTCACCCACCCACACGCTCACCCCCTCTGACTCACTCACCCACACGCTCACCCCTCTGACTCACCCATCCACACACGCTCACCCCCTCTGACTCACCCACACGCTCACCCCCCTGACTCACTCACCCACACGCTCACCCCTCTCACTCACCCTCCTGACTTACCTGCATGCTCACCCACTCACTCACCCACTCACTCACCCACTCACTCACCCACTCACTCACCCGCACGCTCACCCACTCACTCACCCACTCACTCACCCACTCACTCACCCACTCACTCACCCGCACGCTCACCCACTCACTCACCCACTCACTCACCCACTCACTCACCCACTCACTCACCCGCACGCTCACCCACTCACCCCCCTGACTCACTCACCCACTCACTCACCCACTCACTCACCCACTCACTCACCCACTCACCCACTCACCCACTCACTCACCCACTCACTCACCCACTCACTCACTCACCCACTCACTCACCCACTCACCCACTCACTCACCCACTCACTCACCCACTCACCCACTCACTCACCCGCACGCTCACCCACTCACTCACCCACTCACTCACCCGCACGCTCACCCACTCACTCACCCACTCACTCACCCACTCACTCACCCACTCACTCACCCACTCACTCACCCACTCACTCACTCACCCACTCACTCACCCACTCACTCACCCACTCACTCACCCACTCACTCACCCACTCACTCACCCACTCACCCACTCACTCACCCACTCACTCGCCCACTCACTCGCCCACTCACTCACCCACTCACCCACCCACTCACCCACTCACTCACCCACTCACTCACCCACTCACTCACCCACTCACTCACCCACTCACTCACCCACTCACTCACCCACTCACTCACCCGCTCACTCACCCGCTCACTCACCCGCACGCTCACCCACTCACTCACCCACTCACTCACTCACCCACTCACTCACCCACTCACTCACTCACCCACTCACTCACCCACTCACTCACCCTCTCACTCACCTGCACACTCACCCATTCACTCACCCGCACGCTCACCCACTCACTCACCCACTCACCCACTCACCCACTCACTCACCCACTCACTCACCCACTCACTCACCCGCACGCTCGCCCACTCACTCACCCGCACGCTCGCCCACTCACTCACCCACTCACTCACTCACCCACTCACCCACTCACCCACTCACTCACTCACCCACTCACTCACCCACTCACTCACCCACCCACCCACTCACCCACTCACCCACTCACTCACCCACTCACTCACCCACTCACCCACTCACTCACCCACTCACTCACCCACTCACCCACTCACCCACCCACTCACCCACTCACCCACTCACTCACCCACTCACTCACCCACCCACTCACTCACCCACTAACTCACCCACCCACTCACTCACCCACTAACTCACCCGCACACTCACCCACTAACTCACCCGCACGCTCACCCACTCACTCACCCACTCACTCACCCACTCACTCACCCACTCACTCACCCACTCACTCACCCACTCACTCACTCACCCACTCACTCACCCACTCACTCACCCGCACGCTCACCCACTCACTCACCCGCACGCTCACCCACTCACTCACCCACTCACTCACCCACTCACTCACCCACTCACTCACTCACCCACTCACTCACCCACTCACCCACCCACTCACTCACCCACTCACTCACCCACTCACTCACCCACTCACTCACCCACTCACCCACTCACTCACCCACTCACTCACCCACTCACTCACCCACTCGCTCACCCGCACGCTCACCCACTCACTCACCCACTCACTCACCCACTCACTCACCCACTCACTCACCCACTCACTCACCCACTCACTCACCCGCACGCTCACCCACTCACTCACCCACTCACTCACCCACTCACCCACCCACTCACTCACCCACTAACTCACCCACCCACTCACTCACCCACTAACTCACCCGCACGCTCACCCACTCACTCACCCACTCACTCACCCACTCACTCACCCACTCGCTCACCCGCACGCTCACCCACTCACTCACCCACT